GTGGAATTGTCAAGCGGTAAGGATATTACTATATTCCAACTAAAGCATTGGGATATACACAATAAAACTTATAAAAATATTTTCATTCATTTCAATAAATTTAGACTATATTGGTAATACAGTGATTCAGAAATTATTTGAGCGTTGCTCTGAAAATACCAAAACTAAGATGTTGGAAAAGATTGCACCGCACTTAGCGACTATTGGTATTCATAAAAATGGAACTTGGGCAGCACAAAAGATTATTGATTGTGCCAAAACTCCTGCTCAGGTATGTACATTATTTGTTTTAAATTATATGTGTGTGGGTATATATATATATATGTATATGTATTATTGGATTTAAGATAAATCATTCTTTTCTATTCACATTTTTTAGATGCAACTCATTACATCTAATGTTAAACCATACACTCCTCCACTTCTTTTGGATCAGTTTGGAAATTATGTTGTACAATGTTGTCTACGTTTAAGCTCTCAAAGAAATCAATTTATATTTGATGCAATGGTAGATAGATGCTGGGAAATAGCACAGGGTCGATTTGGCGCGCGTGCAATGAGAGCTTGTTTAGAAAGTCAGCATGTTACCAAGAAGCAACAGGTGAAAACATATCTTAAATTATAATTGATAAAAAAAAAAAGTGATGAGTTTTATTTAATTCGGTTGATTAATTTTTAATTGTGTATAGAAACAAGTTGCTATTGCTATCGTAATGAATGCGGTCCCTCTTTCCACTAATCCAAACGGTGCTTTATTATTGACATGGATGCTTGACACTTCATCCTTCCCTGGTCGATATCGTATTCTTGCTCCGCGCCTTGCTCCTCATCTGGCACATTTATGCACTCACAAACTTGCATCGTTAACTGTTCTTAAAATTATCAATCAACGACAAGAAGCCGATGCTCGTGACTTGACGATTACATCTTTGTTTTTCTCTGCAAATGATCAAATTCTGGAAGATGTATTGAGCGATCAAGTTCACGGCGTCGGGGTTGTACAAAAAGTTTTGGCTAGTCCATATGTTGACAGCAGCGAAAAACAGAGGTTAGCAGAAAAGGTTAAAATTGTTTTGGGCAAGTTAAAAGTTCAACAGGTGCAAGGATATAAACGTTTACTGGAAGAATTGGGAATGGTTGGTGATCCTGCTTTGGGCGCACCAGCTATGAATTCTGGTCCTTCCCCAGTCGGTATTCCGCAAGGTGTGTTTTCTACTCCTTTGCCGCCAGATTTTGCTGCCGCTGCTGCTGCTTATTACGCTGCTGCATTTGCCAATCAGCAAATGCAACAAGCTGCAGTTAGTAATCCTACTACCGAAAATAGCAATTCTCCTCACGAGCAATTGGCTCCTCAATCGGCAGGGCAACAAACTTCAAGTGAAAGTTCTACTTTAAATTCAGGAACACAGTCTTCCACACCGATGGCTTCAACACCGACAACAACTTATTCATCAGCACCAATGTTTATGAATAATATGCCAATGTCTCCTCACCCACACTCGCCTTTTCCACCTACATCACCATACCCTCACATGAGTCCTTTTACGCCTTTCATTCATCCGTCCACTTTAGCAGCAGTTGCAGCTGGTATGTATGGACATCCGGCAATGTTTAGTCCTGCGGCTTATCCATACATGCTCGCAGCAAGTGGTGCGATTCCGCCACCAATCGTGGGCACCACCTCACACACACAAGTCACTA